CGCCCACTAGTGGGCGGTAGGGACCAGGTTGACTACCACTGATTTAGCGTATGGCAAATGCATGGACTTATAGTAGTTCAAATGTTAATATCCAGTTCACAAAGCCATTTCAAGGACAAGGTGGTCTCTGTTGAAAAAAATCAGACATTGGGCAGGTGTAAGTTCTTGATGGACATTTGGACACAATATGATGGATATGTCCCCTCTCTCGACATGTATGGTTGTGCGACTGTTGCCTATTTTTATTATTTGTATTTCGTTTTTATGTTCCCCTTTTCCCCCTTTTGAATTGTTCGCCGCCCTGAGTCCTCCCGGAGAAGGGCGGCATACAAATAATAAAATTCTATTCTATTCTATTCTATCGGCCATTTAGGGGGCTAGCAGCTCAGCAAGGGTGAGTTCACATGGCTGCTTTTTTCCAGAGCAATGCCCCATCTCCCTTCCTGGGGTACATCCTGTTTGCAAAGCCACAGGAAACAAGGGAAAGGACCTGGTCACTGGAGAAAACCAGATGTCCAGGGGATTGGAGAAGAGGTGCCCGTTTGTTCTCTCCGTGTGCCCTTAGCTTTCTACAGCCCCCCTTGTGGGCACCTTATTATTATTATTATTGTTTTTGGAAAGTCCCTTCTCTTCTCTTGGACATCCATTGAAAACATTCCTGGTCCACAGAGGAGACAATGCTGCACCTGTGGGACAGATTTCTCAGCGGCTAAATTCAGCTTTTGGCTCCTAACGGCTGCGGATATTGTGGTCCGAGGACCCTTCTATGCGATGGTGCTCACCCCAAATCATTTTTTATAAACACAATTAACTGTTTTTTTTTTTAAAAAACACACACAATGTTGAGAGCTTCAAGGATTTCCATGTCTTTTAACCCAAACGCCGAAATATTGAATTTGTCCGTGCTGAGACACTCTTAAGCGGCAAACAGTGGACGCTCTCCTCCCATCTCCAGTTTTCAGAGAAAGCGGCCCCTTTGTTGAAAGGAACGCAGGTGGTCCTCGCCTTACCACCATCCGCTTAGCGACCGTTTTGACATTGATAAGCAAAGTCAGCGACCACGTAGCTCGCTCAACGACGGTTTGCTCAAGCGCCAAAGAAGATCGTAAAAACCAGGCATTTAACAATTGCCTTGTTCAGCAAGGGAAAGCCTGATTCCCCCCACTCTGGCCGTAAACCGAGGACTGCCTGTTGATCTGAGTGGCCATCTGACTCCACCCTATAAGCTGCTAGCTCAGACAATGGTTCACTGCTTTTCTTGGGTTTGCATCCATATTAATCCACACGAGAGTTTGCAATAATCCCCCCCTTTTTCCTTGCCTCTGATGCAGAGAGCGGGCGCAAAATAGGTAGCTTATTTTAACCAGCATTTCTAACCTCCGGGAACGGCCACTGCTGACTTTAGAATAACCTTATTTAGCTATCGATTTTAATACTTTTTAACTCTGCTGGAAAGCGAAAAGCAAGTCGCCAGATTACCGTAGTTGCTTCTTCGGTTCACCCCAAAAAATGTCGACGTGGGCATCGTTCTCAGCCCGAGAGGCGGCACAGGAGGAGCTCCCCCCCCCCGGGCAAGTTGAAAGATAAGGGTGACGTAACGGCAATTCTTGTTCTTGTACCAAGGCCTTTCCTCCAATAAACAGGAAGTTACTGCTTGCTTCGACTCGGCGTGGTGTTTTCTAGTTATTATTTGTGATATGGAACAGGAGAGTCATGTGGCGTCGAATCCCTTGAAACCGGTTGATGCGCAAACATTTGCTCTTCCGTCATCCAGAATGAGGCTGACCACACAAGAACAATGAGGCTGACCACACAAAACCTTCACCAGGATGTCCTCAATTTTAAAACCAGGTTTTGTTTCTGTTCTGACCGAGGCTTCCCGAGAGCCTGAAGCCAACTCCTTGTCCCGACAAAAACCCCTTTTATTAATTGCCTGTGAGTTCTGCTCATTCGCATCCAGCGAAGTCTTTTAAGGGAGGATTTACAGTCACAGACCTTATCTGGCTTGGAGAGCTGCCAGGCCGATCGCTGCAAAACTTGGCAAGGAGTCTCGGAGAGTCACGAACCAATTAAGCGAACTAATGGTCTCCTGCAAACTCCACTCCCCCTTCGCTCCTCTTTTGTTTCCTCTGGGAGGGGCCATTCATTGTCCATCTGTGGCCTTACTCCCAAGTCGACCCCTGCATGCGCACACTGGGAACAGGCTCCAGCTGTTCTTCTGCCTCATTGATGTCTGACTCTGAAGGCAGCTGATAACCGTCAGACGGCTCTGGCCCCCTCTCTGCCTCCGACACAGAGCCCTCCTCAGAGCCTCCCCCAGACTGCAGGACTGGCCCATCTTCCTCCCCAACCTCCTCACTGTCCGAGTCTCCTGCCAGCTCTGCTGGCCATTGGTGAGCCACAGCAACAACAACGATCCTCTGTTATCATTAAACAAGAACTTGTGTCATCAGTGTGACCTGTAGGATTGTGGTTTGGAAATTCCACCAAGACTTTGAGCCAGGAAACCTGGTACCAGCCTGTTGCCAAAAAGAAATTAAAAAAATAATAATGTCTCTGCATCATTATTAGCCTGCACTGCAGCATTTGATCTTCTGCAGTCTCTTCAGTCTACTAAGTTTAATATCGCACTCAATCATTTGTTGAGAAACCTAACTGAAAATAGCAAAGGCAGTTCTGGGCAATAAAAGAAATAAAATTTAATAGCAATTCTAGGCAGCCCCCAACGAAGCCTATCTTGGTCTCTTGGTTAAAGGTTCTCTATTCCCGCTACTGCTACAATCATTTCAGCCACAGGAGGTTTTCAAATGTGTGTTTAAAAACCATCCCTTTTGTAAATATCAGAACTCTTACCTAACTCTTCCAGAACTACATCCTCGTGGTCCTATTTTTGCCAGAATTTATAACCACTATTACCAGGGGTGGGATTCAGCCGGTTCAGACTGGTTCAGGCAAACCGGATGCTAATTTTACATCTAGTTTGCTGAACCGTTAGTTGAAAGGACTGGCTGGCCGCGCCCGCCCCCACCTGGGAGTCTCCATACGGCCCGTTTTGGATGCCAGATAACTGCAAGGCCCACGCGGAGGCTCTGGGAGGGCGAAAAATGGACCTCCCGGATGTTTCAGAGCACATAGAGGATGTTTTCACCCTCCTGGAGGCTCAGGGGAAGTCCCCGGTGCCTGGGAGGGTGAAACGCCCCCCCCCCCGCTATGGTGCAGGAGGCTGAGTATGGCCACGCCCACCCAGCAACCAGGCAGAGAACCGGTTGCTAAAATCTTTCAATTCCACCCCCTGACTATTACTTATGCCAATGTGAACAGATATTTCTCTCTCTGGACACAATGATAATATATCTGCTGAACAAAACTCCGCACTGGTAACGGGAAGGGCATCTGGCCAGTAAACGCTCTGTTAGCTGCATTCAGTTGCCCAGACTCCACCCCGCAAGGCAAATATATCACCCCACAATCGGGAGGCTGTGAGTTTGATCCCAGGTAGAGGCAGATATTTCTCTCCCTGGGCACAATGAAAATATATCTGCTGGACAAAACTCCGCATTGGCGACAGGAAGGGCATCTGGCCAGTAAACGCTCTGCTAGCTGCATTCACCCAGACTCCACCCCTCAAGGCAAATATATCACCCTACAATCAGGAGGCTGTGAGTTTGATCCCAGGTAGAGGCAGATATTTCTCTCCCTGGGCACAATGAAAATATATCTGTTGAACAAAACTCCGCCTTGGCGACAGGAAGGGCATCTGGCCAGTAAATGCTCTGCTAGCTTCCAGAATGTACACCGATTCCTCTTTATCCTTTATTTTCAAAGTCAATCTGTTCATCTCTGCAGGAATCTTTTTTATTTTTTACAGTATACAAGTGCAATCAGGTTACTATCTCTGCAGGAATCTTAAGGGAACTAGTGAGTCCTTTACTTGGATCTTTGGAGAGACGAATGGATGGATGAGGCATGAGGAATAAAGGCAGAGAAGGAGGAGAAATATTTGTTGGAAAAGAAGGCTCGCTTAACCAGGCATGACGGTGCAAAGCGAAACAGATGGATTAGCAGACGGTTGGTAAGGATTGAGCAATATTGCCTGCCTTGCTCTTAAGCCTGCGTGAGTTTATTAAAAATCAGTCATGCCAAACCAAGCTGATTTTTTTTGATAATGGCCATTTTAATGGATGCCAGGAGTGCAGTGCGGTTGAACAATTGTCAAGTGACACATCGTAAGGTTAAGGTTTAATGAATTTGTATGCCGCCCAATCCCGAAGGACTCCGG